TTGGTTTGTTGGTTTGTTGGTTGGTTGGTTTGTTATTTGGTTTGTTGGTTGGTTGGTTGGTTGGGTTGGTGGGTGGGTGGGTGGGTGGGTGGTTGGTTGATTGATAGGTTGGTATACTTACATGTCCAACATATCAACAGGGACACCGGTGAGTCTATTTATGCAGTTGCAGCCATAATTGTTGAAATCAGAACACGATCGATTAGTGAATTCATTAATCACCAAACACGTGTTAATCCAAGCTGATCGAATGTTCTCAAATCCTGTCGGTAAATATTTATGCATGAGTGTGTGCTGGGATTAGGTTTAAGGTTCGGCATTATTTTTTTAAATTGGATTCTGTAAAGAATGTGTTTTTTGTTCAAACGCAATAACATAACACTTTACACATTTCATTTTAATTTTTCTATATCAATGTGTAAAGATATTTTCAGTATCGTTTCTAAAATATTTCCGTAAAGAATGTAGTCTTATCATTATATAAAACACATAGATATTATATATCATGCCTTGACAAAATATTAGGGATGAGGGGACCACAGCACCGGGTGGCACTATTTAAGGGGGAAGACCATTTAAGTGGTTAAACCAAGGCAACAATTTAGCAAGTTATATCACAGTTAAATAGTAGTTAAAGTTAAAATTGATGTATCCCGACAAGGCAGTGAGGAGATAACACTATGACGTAAACTTACTTATTAAAGATTAACATCTTACATCCGATTATAGATAAACATCGCTACTATTATAAGTGAACATTTTAAAGCTGAGGGGGGGGGGGGGTAGATTTAATATTAGGACGTCATTTTTGAGTATTTTATCTATCATTAAGTCCTTATAAAGCTTATTATTATACAATGATCTCCGATTATATATATATATATATATATATATATATATATATATATATATATATATATATATACATATATATTCGCGCGTGTTTTTGTATATGGAAGAAGGTTATTGACAACAGTATAACAGTAATTGCTAAGTGTTTTTCCAATTTGGCTTAACTAAGCTTAACCTTATTTTAGTGCTCTTACATTAGTTTTTGTACTGCTCTTTTATGTCTAATTTGTGAAGCTTAATGGGCTTTTTTCCCTACTCCCATTAAACATTTATTTAACCGAGGTATAACACGATGATTGCAGCTGCTTTGATAATCGATTGCTACTGATTAGATAATCGACTACCACTGATAATTTAAAAAAAAATGCGGTATGACCCTACTATTTTCGAGTATAGTATTTTTAAAGTAAAAAAAAATAACCAAATTAATCTGCACTTTCTACCGAACGACCCTGTACATTTCTGATTTTCTTCTGTTTCTTAAATCGGAAGTATAAGGGAGGTATGGTAATCTAACACAAATTCGAAATCAATATTTTCATAAATCCTGACGTTTTACACCTTCTAGTGTAAAGTGTCCTTTCGTCTGTGTATGTGTCTGTGTGTATGTCTGTAAACACGATAACTTGTGTACCGTTACACCTAAGTTACTGAAATTTAAATTATAAGTATTATATCAAATTTTTATTTCGGTGTAGACTTTTCAACGATTTCCAGTAACCGAAAGTGGAACTTCTTATAATTTATGTTTTTCAAAAGCCTATACAATAAGTACTGATTCAGACAGATAAAAAAAATGTGTATTTGTAATTGTATTTGTATTTGTATTTGTATTTGTATTTGTATTTGTATTTGTATTAGTATTTGTATTTGTATTTGTATTTGTATTTGTATTTGTATTTGTATTTGTATTTGTATTTGTATTTGTATTTGTATTTGTATTTGTATTTGTATTTGTATTTGTATTTGTATTTGTATTTGTATTTGTATTTGTATTTTTATTTGTATTTGTATTTGTATTTGTATTTGTATTTGTATTTGTATTTGTATTTGTATTTGTATTTGTATTTGTATTTGTATTTGTATTTGTATTTGTATTTGTATTTGTATTTGTATTTGTATTTGTATTTGTATTTGTATTTGTATTTGTATTTGTATTTGTATTTGTATTTGTATTTGTATTTGTATTTGTATTTGTATTTGTATTTGTATTTGTATTTGTATTTGTATTTGTATTTGTATTTGTATTTGTATTTGTATTTGTATTTGTATTTGTATTTGTATTTGTATTTGTATTTGTATTTGTATTTGTATTTGTATTTGTATTTGTATTTGTATTTGTATTTGTATTTGTATTTGTGTTTGTGTTTGTGTTTGTGTTTGTGTTTGTGTTTGTGTTTGTATTTGTATTTGTATTTGTATTTGTATTTGTATTTGTATTTGTATTTGTATTTGTATTTGTATTTGTATTTGTATTTGTATTTGTATTTGTATTTGTATTTGTATTTGTATTTGTATTTGTATTTGTATTTGTATTTGTATTTGTATTTGTATTTGTATTTGTATTTGTATTTGTATTTGTATTTGTATTTGTATTTGTATTTGTATTTGTATTTGTATTTGTATTTGTATTTGTATTTGTATTTGTATTTGTATTTGTATTTGTATTTGTATTTGTATTTGTATTTGTATTTGTATTTGTATTTGTATTTGTATTTGTATTTGTATTTGTATTTGTATTTGTATTTGTCTTTGTCTTTGTCTTTGTCTTTGTCTTTGTCTTTGTCTTTGTCTTTGTCTTTGTCTTTGTCTTTGTCTTTGTCTTTGTCTTTGTCTTTGTCTTTGTCTTTGTCTTTGTCTTTGTCTTTGTCTTTGTCTTTGTCTTTGTCTTTGTCTTTGTCTTTGTCTTTGTCTTTGTCTTTGTCTTTGTCTTTGTCTTTGTCTTTGTCTTTGTCTTTGTCTTTGTCTTTGTCTTTGTCTTTGTCTTTGTCTTTGTCTTTGTCTTTGTCTTTGTCTTTGTCTTTGTCTTTGTCTTTGTCTTTGTCTTTGTCTTTGTCTTTGTCTTTGTCTTTGTGTAAGGGGCTGGGGAGTTATTTAATTATTTTATTACAAAAAGGTGAATGTCTTTTTGTGTTCCTCAGGATTGTTGTGGTTTCTAGTTAAGTAGTCCTCTATTCTGGCGCTGATATGATTAGGATTGGTTTTTTTGTTCGTGAATGTGGTGTGTAGACTTGGAGGGACATTCTGCTGGAATGTCGAGGCCTGTGTGTTGAAGGGTTTCTGTGTCACATTAATGTGATGGATGGTAACGTAGGGTTATTTTTATAGTGTTTTATTATGTTTTCCATATTTTTGTTTGCTTATTTTGTATACAAAGTGACTAAATACTAGATCTATTTAGTCACTTCGACTTTGAGAAGTCTCAATGTTTGTTGTATCCAGACCACGTGGTAGTATGATGGCCTGGGTTTAGTCATGGATTATTGTAGATTTTACTTTCATTTATGCGAGCCTCTTGTTTAGGCTGATAATTGTGTCAACTTAGTGCCTTGTGTATAACTTTTTTTACATTTTGAATTGATTTGTCTATTTTTCCTCTTTCTAGGACGGTGGTCCGAAATTGGGTGTTTTGTTTCGTTGAGTTCTGTTTGTTTTGTATGTCTTGAGTGTTTTGTTTTATCTAGATCTAGATATCTATATTCTAGTTTTTTTTATGTGAGTTTTGGTTCCATATTTTTGTTAAATAAATTTTATTATATTGTTAAAGTTTTTGTTTTATTTTTAGTAGTTTTTTTAAAATTTAGACTAAGGTTAGGGTTTAACCACTGTGGGTTCTACCACGGTTGCACTGAGCGGACAGATTAGTTAGTTAAGCCTAGGGAAGGGTAGATCTAGATAGATTTTAGTGATCCCCCCCCCCCCTAGCTGGGCTCACATTTGTCGTTGTTGTTGTTGTTGTCGTTGTCTAGGTCTTTGTCTTTGTTGTTGTCGTGGTCGTTGTCGTATTTGTATTTGTATATGTATTATTTGTTCGAGTTATATGCTGCTTACTAAACACACAAGTCATGGTTATGGTCTTTTACAGATAGGTTTTTTCACAGAGGCCAGTGTAGAGCAGGCCGTGACGGCTAGTAATGTATATAATTTGGTTTTAATTTAAATTTTTCTAATAGGTATTAGTTGCCTTATGTTAACTGTATCGAATTTGTAGCCATTTCTTTGCTTTGTTACTAATATCGTTCAACAGGTAGAAAGCACAGATTCGTTTTGACAAATAACTATCTTATAAATTTTCCAAAAACAAGTATACATTAAAATGCATCAGCCTATAATTCACATGTATCCGATACCAATGGTTAGTGTATAGTATATTATAGTATATTATAGTATACGAGCCGACCCTCGGCGTATCATACGCCGCTATTTAGTTGTTTTATTTTCTACTTTTCAGTAATTCATAATTTGTGAATTCGACAGTACCAATGCTGCCACTGAAAATATTTGTTTTAAAACACTACCCCCCCCCTTTCCCCCAACCCCTACCCTATACCCCCCCCTTTCTCCCAAACCCTACCCCATATCCCCCCATTCCCTCAACCCCTACCCTATACCCCTCCCCCCCCACCCCCGTGAAAGCAGCCTCCTCTTAGTTACCTCCTCAAAGTTTAAAATCGTTTCAAACTAAATTATCTGCCCCTAATAGCCGTCACTAAACCCGGTTCTACGAATGTAAACATTTAGAGTGAACCACCGCTATCCAGACCATGTGGGGGGTGGGGGTGGTAGTGATAGAGAGGAAGAGAGGGGACTGCAAGGCGCGCTTGCAGCTTGTTTTCTAACGTCTCCCATAAGAGAATTATATATATAGATTATAGTATATTATAGTATATATTAGTATATTATAGTATATTAAATATATTATATTATTATTTTATTTTATTGCATTTGTGTATTATAGTATATTATAGTTTGTATATATATATATATATATATATATATATATATATATATATATATATATATATATATATATATATATATATATATATAGCTTGTTATTTTGTAACCAATTATCAGATGGCTAAATAAAAATATACCTGAATAAGCCAGTACAAGGAATATCAAGTTGAAAGACAAACAGTTCATGCTGTGGAAATAGTGGTCATTCAATTTGCTTTCCTAAAAATTAAACTTAATTCGATAGTTAAGATTTATTTTAAGTTTGTAAAAAATTGTTTCAGATGTATAGTCATATACAGTAAAACAAACCTTTATTTTTTATGGTTTTGTAAAACTGATAGGAGACTGTACAGCTGAAATTTGGGTGATTTAAAAAAAATACAGTATAAATTAATTATAGCTTTAGCTTAAATAATTGAACTACAGTTACCTGATGGGTTAGCTATGGTTACTTCGAGTGTATATTTCACAAGGATGACTTGGCTTTACTTGGCAATGGTTGAAATAATAATTTTCGTTTCTGTCTCTGAATTTCAATTACATTATTTTATTGATGTTGATTTAAATCCATCGATAGTTTGCTTAACCCTTTGAAAAGTATGGCAAACCTACGAATAATTAAAAAAATATTATACTCGTACAATTACAAATAAAATAACATTCTAAAAATGTTAGTTTTAAATTGATAGTTTGAATATTTTAAAGATAAATCTGGAATATGTAAGCTCATAAGAACGTTTTTAAAGATAAGACTGGGTGTCATCAAAATTCCTGTAAACGCTTTTGATAATAAGGGGATGCAACCACCCTATGTCCTACTCTTCCCCCAAGTTTTTAAATAACATTCCTTCTCCTTGTGCTGTATTGACAACAGAACTTTTAGTTTTTGCCCCACCGAACATTTTTTTTTTGCTTGAGGTTTCCTTTCTTATACTATCAATTTAAAACCAACCTTTTTAAGATTGACTTTTTACTTGAAAAGGTACACATATAGTTTTAAAAAGTGTGCGTAGATTTGCCATAATTTTTAAAGGGTTAAAGCAAACGATCGATGGATTTAATAAACATTAATACAAAGATGTAATTGAATTTCAGATTGCATCAGAGGCAGACATGAAGACTCATCATATTCAATCTTTGCTAAGTAAACCAACCAACCAAACAACAAACCGACCAACAAACCAACTAATCAACCAACCAACCAACCAACAAACCAACAAACCAACCAACCATCCAAACAACCAACCAACCAACCAACTAACAAACCAACCAAACAACCAACCAATCAACCAATTAATCAAACAACCAACCAACCAACCAACAACCAACCAATTAATTAATAAACCAACTAACCAATCAACCAATCAACCAATATATTAGAGTAATGCGGATGGGGGTTTCAAGAGTTGCTTTGGGGCAATTGTCGATTAGGGTATATCGAGCAACTTTCATTTCGAGAAATCATCCCTGTCGTGGAAACTTGGGGAAAAAAGGTTTTAATAATAAACTTTTATGTAATAATGCACTAAAATGATAAAATAATCGATTTTCTTTTAAAATATAACAATACGCTACTTATTAAATAGCTGTAAAGAAAATCGTGGGTCGCTTCCTAACTGTTTGTAAAAGTATCCAACGCGTATCCAACAAGCGACAAACGCTTTTCTTTATAGTTATTTAGATATTAGCGTATTATAATATATTTCTAAAAAATCATTTATTCTTCTTTTTAGTGCATTATTAAATAAAAACGTTTTTATGCAATTATTTTCAGTACTTTAATTTTTTTAATACAATGAAGTTGCATGAAAATTTCTTTTGCGCCTAAATAATGTTAAAGCGCGTGTAATAGTACGGAATAGATTGATAAGACTGTATACCAATTTCAGAACATTTGTATTAATTCATAAAATATTAATTAGGCATTCAATTGAGTCGAATTTAATGTCATATTGCATTGTCATCGAGTCTTGACCTGCGTGCTGAATTTCAAAGAAAGTTATCGGTTAGAAGTGCCCGATATTTCGCTCTCCCGTTTCAACCTAGACAGCATTAAGACGGACAGAGGAAGCAAGTTAAATAAAAGCTTGTACATTTTTTTCATAAAAACATGTTTTTTTAATGTAAAAATGCACTAAAAAGGAAATAAATCTTTATCATAATTTAAATATTTGTCTTTATTTTATTTTTTTATTTTTTAGTGCATTATTATATAAACGCTTGTTATCAAAACGTTATTTATGATATTTTTTTACATGTCTTGACCCACGTACTAAATACAAAATTGTATCTGTCAGTTAGAAGTGCCTGCAATATCGCTTGGGCGTTTCGATCTAAACACACAGACTGACGACTGACGAGGAAGTGAGTTACATAAAAGCTATTTAAATTACTATAAAGAAAAGCGACAGACTTACGAAAAAGTGAGTTAAATAAAAAATTGTAATAAAAGCATATTATTAAACATGCTTTTTATGCATATTTAGTACCTTAAATTTTTTAATACAATAAAAAAAATTGCGCACCACATGAACATAATAGTGCGGAATAGTAGTAGTAAGACTACTTATTTTAGAAAATATTTATAAAATTCATTACAAAATTGGATGTTAGATTGCTACGTCATCTGGTCTTGACGCACGTGCTGAATTTCAGAGAAATTGCTGGATTAAACAGACAGAAAAACAGACAATCAGAACAGACAATCAGATATGAAGAGGAAGCAAGTTTAATAAGGCTTGTAGAAATGCATTAAAACATTTTAATAATAAGCTTTTAAATTACTTAAAAGCTTGTTATTAAACCACTAGCCATCGGTACCCGTTTCACGTGAATTATAGGCCTATATATTTTAAAATGTTGAACTTGTTTGAGAAAAATAATTTATAAAATAGTTATTGGTCAAAACGCAATGTGCATTACTACACGCTGAACGATATTACTGACAAAGCAAAGAAATAACTAATTAGCTAAAAATCCGACACATTTAACATAACACAGGCACACACTGATTAAGTGACTTAAATGATTCCGTTAAAAACTCGGCTATTCCACGGTATTCTTCTTGTTTTTAAAGTGATATATTTTTATTAGGTTTTTATTAATAGATCTATAGATTTAAATGAAATAGTTCATTTCTTCATCGGTAACCATATTAAATGCACTCGCTGATTAAGAGACTTAAAATTAAGAGACTTAATAGATTTCTTTAAAAACCCGGCTGTTCAATGGTAGTTAATAGTTATGTTAATTTTAAGTAGATAGTCTAAATCCAGATCTTAGTGTCTACGTCTAGTTCTAGTCTAGATCTAGAATCGAGATCTAGATCTATATCTATAATTTAAATAGATAAAGTAAAAACTTATAAAAGTTTAGGCCGAGAAAATCGTATTGTATACATTTCATAGCGTACGTAGAATGTAGCTCTAAATCATTTTTGAATGAAATAGTTCATTTCTTTATTTCATTCTAAACTCGGAAGATGACGTCATCAGTTTCGTGCTCTTTTTTTTAGTGTAAACAATAAGCGACGTCATTGCTAAATGCGTTCTTGTCCCAAGTATAAACATTTTTCCGGTTGCATAATTAAATTTGTTTTTCTACATTCAAATACTCCTCTATTTTTTATTTTTCTTCTTTAAATAAAATTGTGGTTATACATTTAAAACATCTAACATATTATTTTCAACAAAAGTCCGTATAAAGTTCTTCATATATCGCTGCAGATTCTGATGTGATGTCCGGCGAAAAATATTTTGCGGACAGACAGACAGAGAGAGAGAGAGAGAGAGAAGTGCGCACTTGGGCTTTTATATATTAGGATTGGGAAATGCACTTAAAAAGGGAGAAAAAAATGATTTTCGTTAAAAACAAAAAAAGATACTACTATTTTAATAACTATAAAGAAAAGCGCGAGTCACTCCCATTTTCATCGGGTTTTCATTTCGATCTAGACAGACAGACAGAAATGATAAGGAGGCAAGATTAATAAAAGCTTTTCAAAATATAACTCATTGGCGATAAAGGGCAGTTTTATTACTATACACATTTCTATACACGTATCTGTATGCTTGTGTGTGTGTGTGTGTGTGTTAGCGCGCTTGTTTGGGTATGTGTGTTCTTGGTCGTGTGTTTGCATGGGTGGAACTGGTTATGTGCGTGTGTTTTCTTAGACGTGTTAGTAATCTTAGCTTGTGTGTGTGTGTGTGTCCCACGCCTGGGCGTATATATATATATATATATATATATATATATATATATATATATATATATATATATATATATATATAATTCTCTTTTTGGAGGCCCTAGAAAACAAGCTGTAAGCGCGCTCCCTACCGCCCCCACCCCTACATGGTCTGGTGAGCTGTGGTTCACGCTAAATGTTTACAATCGTAGAACCGGGTTTAGTGACGGCTATGAGGGGCAGATAATTTAGTTTGAAACTATTTTAAACTTAGGGGAGGTAACTAAGAGTAGGCTGCTGTCACGGGGGGGGGGGGGGGGAGGGGTTAGGGAAAGGAGGGGGGGTTATCGTCCTTAACGAGCTACTGACAGTGTTTTAAAGCAAATATATTCAGTGGCAGCATTGGTACTGTTGAATTCACAAATTATGAATGACTGAAAAGTAGAAAATAAAACAACTAAATAGCGGCATATGATATGCCGCGGGTCGGCTCTTTACATTATAAATTACAATTTTAAATAAACCGGGAGAGATCTCTCTTAAACTTTCTCGAATAATATTCTTATATAATACTTTATGACAACTAGGGATATAGACATGTTTTTTAATCCATTTTTAATTACTTAAAGTTTTTATAATAGAATAGAATCTCGTAAAACAAAGAATAGCGCCCCAAGTGAACGCCAAAACAATCTGTGTATAATAGTGCGGAATATTATTAGTACTTTATAAATTATCATACGTTTTTGGAGAAATCGGAAATAACGTAAATTAATACTTCCGGTCAAAGGAAATTACTCAAAATTTGACAGAATGCAGAGAATTAGATCTTTCACTTATTTGTCAAATTTAGTTTATCTATCTAAAATAGTAGTCAAGTTATAGGCTTTTGAAAAATCAAAAAGTTCCACTGCCGTTTATCGGAAATCGCTGAAAAGTTGAAACAGAACTACAAAGTTGATATGATACCTGCATATGAAATTTCATCAAATTAGCTGTAACGGTACTCAAGTTATCGTGTTTACAGACACACATACACACAGAGACATACGGACATAATTGCTAAGCCCAGTTTTTCCGACTCAATTACGCATAGAACGCTGAAATTTTGATAAATCTGCATTTATAACTTTTCCCCGATTAAAATAAGTCCATTATACTTCATATATGATGAAGTGCTGAAGTGTAAAACGATTAAAACTTACAATTTCATGTGATTTTTTTTGCACGATTACAATACTTCCTCTATACTCAGTATACGAGAAGGTAAAAAGAGCTTTCGGACACACGTTAATCGATGGCAATC